TTTTTTTTTTTTTTTTTTTTTTTTTTTTTTTTTTTTTTTTTTTTTTGTCGGAAAAGAAATATTCCATGAATTTTTTAATAAATAATTTCTATTTTTCAATATAAATTCTATTTAAAAATGTAAAAGATTTTAATAAATTCAACCATATTGTATAATCTCATAGTAATTTACTTTGGATTTATACCTAGAATATAACTATAAAATAAATTTGGTGGTTCTATTGCGGTTAGCTAGATAACCATTGTGCTATATTTGTTCTAGTCCAGCAAATAAGTCAGTCATGAGAAATTCGGACTTTATAGACACGTCGACGTATGTTTGAGCTATGAGTCATGTTTGCAAGAAATGTTTTAGGAAACGTGAGCGATGAAACACATTTGGAAAATTAAAGAACTTTATAGGACTAAAACGAAGGAACACCCCAACTTAAATAGCATATAACTTAGGGTAGGAAAAAAATGATAACTAGTCATATTCATATATCTAGGACATTTTAGCCTCAATGCAGGCGCAGACATGATTTTTGTGAATGGTCATACACCCTCTATTGACATAACATGAAAAGGCTTGAAATGGGCCTGCAACCATGGACAATTAGTACTAGACAAGTATGATCAACACATTTTACCAGGGGTTATAGATAACACGCCTTTAACAAACATGACCGTTTCTGACTAATAAATTGAACATGAAAAGAGTGACATTTGCTTTCATGTCTTCAAGGAAGAGTTCGAACGCCTTCCGAAGATAATCCAAAGTGCCCATTTCGAAAGATGTGGAAATGAGCTTTTAGATAGAGTCGATTGTTTACGAATGAGACCCTGCTGCTTCAGCGCGTGACACTGTCATTGTCCAAGTTCATCCATAGTTTTGCAGTTTTTGAACGACCTAATTTGAAAATGGTGGGAAGGAGTATGCGTTGAGTCGGCGTCATGGAGATGGTTGGATGAGTAATTGCAACCGTGTTAGCCAATTGAGCATGATATTGTCCATTTTGAGGATAAATTCTAGTATCATTACTTTTAGTTTTTCAAAAGGCCTCATATCAGAGATAGTGTTCGTTTACTTATAAACTCATGATCTTTCTCTCAATTAACCAACGTGAACTACTCCTCTCAATAATTCTCAACAATTCTCTCCTCGAACAAAATACACCATAGCCTTCTCTTGAGCACTCAAACAAACTACACCATTTGTTCCACCTTCTCTTGAGCTCTCAAACAAAATACACCATTTGTTCAACGCTCGAGTCATTTTTTACTATACTTCGAAACTCACAATTTCTTTGTTCGACACTAGAGAATTCTATTGGCATGACTCTAATATCATATTAGGAATCACGACTTTCCACAATGATATGATATTGTCCACTTTAAATATAACCTTTCATCACTTTTCTTTTGGTTTCCCTAAAATGCCTCGTTACCAATGAAACAATATCGTTTGCTTATAAACTCATAATCTTTCTCTTAACTAGTCGGACTATTCCTCTTAATAATCCTCACCATTCAACGGGATGAAATTTAAACAAGGAACAAACACTTAGAAGGCAAAAATCAAAACAAATAAGAAGAGAACACTTGATTGACATAGTCTGAAACAAAGACAGATTGATAACTGCAATCACAACGTGAGAGCAAATTTCACACCACAAAGCACAAAAGAAACACAAACCAGCATAGTTTTGGCTCTCCTTTATTTCTACATCATTAAGTGATGAGAGTACACATAGTGAAACTACGGACCAGGAGACGAGCCAGAAGGCCTAAAACAGAAGCTGCGAGGAACTTGGTCAGGAGAAACCATTCCCCCTCCCTGACTCGTATCAATAGCTTCCAACATTTCGCCAACCTCATGCATTGCAGGGCGTTCGGATGGGTTGCCATCCCAGCATTTCCTCATCACGTTTGCCAGAGAATTTGGGCAGCACTCCGGAATAATGGGTCGCAGATTCTGCCAAAACATGATGCTTATGCTTCAGATCTTCTTCATGAACATAAACATAGAACACATAATTCTACTAAATAAATGGAAAAGGGAATTGGTTAGGCAATGAACAAGAGACCTGATGAGACGTGTTTTACGTCTTACGTCCAAAGTACCTTACCTGATGAACAACTCCAGATGATATGTCAGCGAAACTAAGATTGGGGTATGGCATGGCGCAGCAGTAAATTTCCCACAAGCAAATGCCGAAGCTATAGACATCACATGTTATATTGTACGGTTTCCCTTTAAGAATCTATGAGTGTGTTAGAATATTAACATATTAAGGCCTACTATACACAAACTAGACATGAGATATGATCCTTATCCATAATTATTCATATTGAACAAAAGCTTTGAACATGTTTGAGCAACCACTCATTCAGATTGAATGCATTATCATCGTGTTTTTGTTCTATATTTCCATCATTTGAGGTATTAAGAACAAACCAAACCACTGAGAAGAATGCAAATCGATTGTAACAGCCTACGCCCACCGCTAACAAATATTGTCCGCTTTAGCCCGTTATGTATCGCTGTCAGCCTCACGGTTTTAAAACACGTCTACTAAGGAGAGGTTTCCCACCCTTATAAGGAATGTTTCTTTCGCCACTCTAATCGATGTTGGATCTCACAATCCACCCACTTTGGGGGCCAGCATCCTCCCTAGCACACCGCCCGATATTTGGGTCCGATACCATTTATAACAACCCAAGTCCACCACTAGTAAATATTGTCCGCTTTGGCCCGTTATGTATCACCGTCAGCCTCACGGTTCTAAAACACATTTATTAGGGAGAGGTTTCCACACCCTTATAAGGAATGCTTCATTCCCCACTCTAACCGATGTTGGATCTCACAATCCACCCCCCTTGGGGGCTAGCATCCTCACTAGCACACCGCCCGGTTTCTGGGTCTGATACCATTTGTAACAACTCAAGTCCACCGCTAGCAAATATTGTCCGCTTTGGCCCGTTATGTATCGCCGTCAGCTTCATGATTTTAAAACACATCTATTAGGGAGAGGTTTCCACATCCTTACATTCGTTCTCCTCTCCAACGACGTGGGATTCACATCAATTTCCAGACTCCAAGTAGAGAAATGTGTCACTCTAAAAGAACATATGTTCGTAAAGGGGAAACAACAACAGAAGGATGTAATATTTCAAATCAGTATCCTTTTTTCCAAATACATCTATAATTGGAGAATGTGTACACGCAGTTCTAATTGCTATTACACATGATAAAACAACATTGCTAGTGCCTAATAATGAGATGTATTAAGAACAGAATGACAAAGTTACCTCTGGGGCCATGTATTCAACGGTACCAGTTTTTCCATTCATATCTCTTGGATTCCAAGCTTTAACACGAGCAGCTCCAATATCAGCAATTTTAAGGGTTCTGTGGGCATCTATCAACATATTTACAGTTCTGACATCATGATGCATAATCTTGTTGGAGTGTAGATAGCTAAGCCTGTGTAGTTAGTTATAACTCTAATTAGCAAATCTTCTACTTTAGAAAAGAGAGAGAAAGAGAGAGAGTTACCCTCTAGAGAGATCCAAAGCTAATTGAATGGCATCCTTAAAGGGGAGTTTCCTTTTCCTGTTCCTAATCAAAAACTCTATTAATGTCCCACCAGGAAGATACTCAACAACAACACAACAAGTCGTAGGTGAAATGGAGCTTTGATGATCCATTGAAGAGAGTTTTGAAGGAATCTGAAGATTTCTAGCTTTTGTTGAAGCCCCAACAAACTGTTACCAAAGATAAAAACCGGAGTTGAAGAAAACAAAATTCATATACAGAAAAATATATGAACCCACGAACATCAACCATTCATATTAGAAGAAGTTTGTACTTTTGTAACATTAGGATGGTGAAGCTTGTGCCAAACATCAACTCTTTGCCGAAAAAATTCCCTCAAAACAGGGCCATCCCCCCAGTCCAATATCTTCACTGAAATATGGAAAAAAATAGAGTTCTTAAGCCAATTATGTTCGCAAACACCCAGCTCGAAGCTGACTCCATACTTGGACATAAACGTAAGCAGAAGAAGCAAAAGCTATTAGGAATCATGGATCTCCACAATGGTATGATATTGTCCACTTTGAGCATAACCTCTCGTGACTTTGCTTTGGGCTTCCCCAAAAGGCCTCATACCAATGGAGATGTATTGCTTTACTTATAAACTCATGCCCTGAATTAGCCAATGTGGGACTCACTCCCAATAATCCTCAACAAAATCAAAAGGGAAAAGATGAGTTTAATTACCTGCTACAGCTTGGTTGTCATATGTTCCCTTGAATACAGTTCTATAAGTCCCGTGAGCAACAACTTTTTGGATATCAAGTTTAGAAAAATCAATCTCCCATTCCTCGGACCAGGGGCGTTCCGAGCCCCCCTGTAGTATGTATTGCGGATATTGATCGCTTCCCATAATAAGAAGGCCATACAGCTCCACATCATTTCCTTTCGAATCCATTGCTGATATGCAAAATTTAGAAATTATCCCTCAACACTAAGTTTGTGATTTGAAAAATATGGAATCCATTGTCCGACAAATTAAATTAAATCTAGCTCAATCACTAGTTGACTGACTTAATACAAAGTCAACTTTTATTAATATTAATATTTTGTCCCAATTTGATGGCGATGACGAGTGAGAGAAAGACTGATGTGATGTGATGGCATAGTATATAGGTTCCCCTTTTTAGTGGATATTACAATATTAATTTGTTTGGCCCAATGTCTTGCTCTTTATTATTATTTCTATTCGTAGGACAGTGAAGTAATGTTTCAGCTTTTGAACTCCGTTCGAGGGATTGTTAAACCTTATTTTTAACTATGTTTTCACCATGTTTGGATTATTTATGAATTTTGAAGTCCATGACAATTTTAAAGCTCAAATGAATTTTTAGATATTTTTCGCTTGAACTTACAATTACATGTTGAGGATTGTTGGGAGGGAATCCCATGTTGACTAATTAAGAGGATAATCATGGGTTTATAAGTAAGGAATACATCTCTATTGGTATGAGGCCTTTTGGGGAAACCAAAAACAAAGCCATGAGAACTTATGCTCAAAGTGGACAATATCATACCATTGTGGAGGATCGTGATTCCTAACATGATATTATAGTCATGCCCTTAACTTAGTTATGTCAATAGAATCCTCAAGTGTCGAACAAAGGGTGTACTTTGTTCGAGGGCGCTAAAGAAAGAGTCAAGTCTCGACTAAGGGGAGGTTGTTCAAGGGCTCTATTGGTCTCAAGGAACGCTCTATTTTGTACTTTGTTCGAGGGGAGGATTATTAGGAGAGAGTACCACATTGGCTAATTAAGAGGATGATCATGCCTTTATGAGTAAGGAGTACATCTCCATTGATACGTGGCCTTTTGGAGAAATCAAAAGCAAAGCCATAAGTGGATAATATCATACCATTCTACTCCGACCCTATGCATGATATATAGCAGCAGTTTTATTTTAAACAACAACAAGGAATTCTTAGAAGGCAAAAATCAACTATTAGGGAGAGAACAATACCATTAAGTGATGAGAGTCCAAGTGAATTAAGGACCACTGGGCGTGCCGAAAGGGCTGAAACAGAAGCTGCAAGAGACTTTGTTAGGAGAAACCATCCCCTCTCCTTTACTCTTTTCAATGGCTTCCAACATTTCGACAACCTTATGCATTTCAGGGCGTTTGGATGGATTTCTATCCCAGCACTTCCTCATCACTTTTGCCAGAGAATTTGGACAGCATTCCGGGATATCGGGTCGCAGATTCTGGCAAAACAAAATGCTAATGCTTCAGATCTTCTTCATGAACTTTACACATAAACATAGAATTTATAACACTACTGAATAAATGGAAAGGGGCATTATATAAGATTAAGCTCTTCACTATAGATATTATTTTGAAGTTCTACCCCTACCGGTTGCAACAAACACAAGAATAAAAGTCATTAATAAGAGACTTGATGTGAGATCCCACGTCAATTGGAGAGAGTAACAACATTGATTAGAGACGGAAACGAGTGTCAGTTAGAACGTTGGGCCCTGAAGGGGTGGATTGTGAGATCCCTTTATAAGGATGTGGAAACCTCTTCCTAGCAGACGCGTTTTAAAAACCTTGAGGGAAAACCTGAAAGGAAAAGCGCAAAGAGGACAATATCTGCTAGTGATGGGTTTGGGCCGTTACACTTGAAGAGACGTGTTTTATGTCTTACGTCCTCCCAAGTACCGTACCTGATGAACAACTCCAGATGATATGTCAGCAGAGCTAAGATCGGGGTATGGTATATCGCAACTGTAAATTTTCCACAAGCAGATGCCAAAGCTATAGACATCACATCTTTTATTGTATGGCTTCCCTTCAATAACCTACAAGTGAGGTAGAATATTAGCATATTAACGCCTACTCTACAGAAACTAGACATGAGACATGATCATTATCCATTATTATTCACATTGAACAAAAGCTTTGAACATGTTCGAGCAACCACTTGTTCAAAATGAGTGCATAATCATCGTGTTTTTCTCCAATACTTCCATCATTTCAGGTTGGCAGAGAAGAAAACAAATCCAGATATAGCTACCAAATTGATTTCAGGACTTGAAGGAGAGAAAAGTTTGATGCGAAAGAACATATGTTGGTAAAGGAAAAAACAGAAGAATGTAACATTTCAAATCAGTATCCTTTCTTCCAAATACATCTATAATTTGAGAATATCTACATGCGGTTCTAATCGCTATTACACATGATAAATCAACATTGCCAGTGCCTAATAATAACATGTATTAAGGACAAAATGACAAAGTTACCTCTGGGGCAATGTATTCGACAGTACTAGTTAATTCCCCAGTCATATCATTTGGATTCCGAGCTTTAACACGTGCAACCCCAATATCAGCAATTTTAAGACTTCTGTGAGCATCTATCAACATATTTTCAGGTTTGACATCTTGATGCACAATGTTGTTGGAGTGTAGATAGCTAAGCCTGTAGTAATAATTGTTTTACTTTAGAAAAGATGATATCCAACATTGGTAAACAGAAAGAGAGAGAGAGAGAGAGTTACCCTCTAGAGAGATCCAAAGCTAAGTGAATGGCATCCTTGAAGGGAAGTTTCTTTTTGTTGTGCTTCATCAACAACTCTTTTAATGTCCCACCAGGAAGATACTCAACAACAACACAACAATCCGTAGGTGAAATGGAGTTTTGATGATTCATTGAAGAGACTTTTGATTTTGAAGGAATCTGAAGACTTATAGCTTTTGTTGAAGCCCCAACAAACTGTTATGAAAGATAAAAAGGATAATCATTAGCCACCCACCTCAAAACCAGCGTTGAAGAAAACAAAATTCGTATACAGAAAAATATATGATCCCGTGAACATCAACCATTCACTATAAGAACTTAGAACAAGAAGAAGTTGGTACTTTCGTAACATTAGGATGGTGAAGCTTGTGCCAAGCATCAACTTTTTGCCGAAATGATTCCCTCAAAACAGGGTCATCCCCCCACTCCAATATCTTCACTGTAATATGGAAAAAGTAGGGTTCAGCTACAATTTGACATCAACAAAAATTCTCAAACCAATGTGTTCGCAAATAAAAATATACAGTCTTAGGAATTAAAACATTCCCCATTCATAAACCATGTAAAAAGCTTTAAATTATGAATGTCAGCCAGTTTCCAATAGATTCCCTCACCTATCGGAATGTAAGCAGCAGAAGCAAAATCAAAAGCGAAAAGGATGTTTACCTGCGACAGCTTGGTTGTCATATGTTCCTCCGAATACAGTTAAGTCCCGTGAGCAACAATTTTCTGGATGTCGAGTTTAGAAAAATCAATCTTCCACTCCTCCGTCCAAGGGCATTCTTTGCTCCCCTTCGTCGGGCCACAACTTAAACCAATGTGTTCCACATCTTCCCACTCCTTCGACCAACAACATGACCAGCGCGAACGTGGTATGTATCCATATTTCCCCTCTTTCGACCTTTTTTGTGGTAGCACCCGTTTCCAGCTTCCCGTGGTCTCCGGGCTCTGCGTCTCGATTGTAGTGCCCTCCCTCCCTGTAGTTTACTTTCGGACTGAGATATACACGATATCTTGAACACAAAGAATTGAAAATATAGAAATATCAACATCTTAAGATTTCAAGGTAAGATTAAACATCGACATCTTTTGAATGGTTCAAATAAAATTATGTTTTAATATATGATTTTAGATCATATTTTTCAATAATGCGACTCTTCAAATGATACGTTATATTACCAAATTAATATGGATAGTTAATAGGACCACTCCACTTTTATAAATTATTAAATCATAGAAATGTTTATTCTTATATATCACGTAAATTAAAGCTTTGTTTCTCTTATATCCTTCGTCATTCCTCGATTTAATTGTTAATGTCGTTGATGATATTTAATTTTGAATCTCAGTTTACGGGCTTTCGAATGATGGTTGAACGTAGTCTCAAACGCGAGCCAAACGTCACTTGTAGCGGAGAGACGAACGACGACAACAATGACTTCCTCGGTGAGAGAGAAGAGTAGTAGATAGATAAGTCTATGATCGACTACTTTTTCACGTCAAAGTGTTTGGTGCTTGAGTGTTGAAGAGATTTATGATTAAAAGGGAGGTGGCGAAACTAGACTTCTTCAACCCAGCCCAGCCTGTCTTGACTATCAAGAAAGGGGAGAAGTTGGTTTTTTCGAGTAAGATAATTGGAGGAAGAAAGGTTGATGGTGATAGCGTTGAAAGGAAGAAAATGAGAGGAGGATTCGAAAGTCAAGTCATGTAAAAAAAGTGATCAGAGTTGCTAAAACGGTTCTAATACCATAAGTATATTTGCTAAAACCACCACCTTCAACATTTTCTGTCTATAACCATTTACATAACCAAATAAATTAGAAAAAAAACAGAAGAGCAATAAATTGATACATGATTATTTTGATCAATGGTCAAATATGATAGTAAACCGTAATGAAATGATAAATATCTTCAATCATACAAAATATTAATATATAATCAAGAGTTACATATAATACATATAGTAACCCATAATTCAAGGTTAAATAAATATACTCAACATATGAAAAAACCATTTATCCATATGAACTCTTCATTGAAATAACTGGTTTGATGGTTGATCGAACCATAGTAAAGCTAGACTACGTTATACTACATTAATAATATATAACTTTTCTAATAATTATCTTTGTCGGTATAAAATTCACTGTAAAATTATATTCTAAATATATATTAAACTTCTTACATTTGTGTTTTTGAGAGTAAAATGTGTATGCATATATATCTCTTAATAATCAATTTTAGCATTTAAACTATAATCATATTATTCAATATTTTTGTCTCAAAAAAGATTTAAATTTTAAAGAAACCCTTTTTAGCCATCACCGGAGATGATGCGAAAATTTTTTATGCTTTTAACAATAATCATAATGTCTTTCGAAACTATATAAAAAAAAATATATATAAATTTAAAGAATATATTATAATAATTAATTATAAAATATATTTTAGATATTAGTAATCGGTTAATATTTTATGTTAAGATACGGTATAATTAACCATATATTTTATCTTATTATTTAGTTACGATATTTTATCTTATTATTTAGTTACGATTGAATTAACGTTAATTTTATCTTATTATTTAGTTAGAATTTGCATATTTTATTTTATTTTGAAAATTTAGTTACTTTATACTTATTATTTAGTTAGGATTGAATTAACTTTAATTTTATTGTTAGGATTTGCTTAACCGTATATTTTATTTTATTCTAAAAATTTAGTTAATTTATATTTTTATTGATTAGTTGGTAGCTTGTATCCTATTTAAAGAAGGCGACCAAATCAGTAGAGAGAAGCAGGAAAATCGAGACCCAGAAAAGCATTCAACTACAGTTACTAGTTTGGCGACCAAATCAGTAGAGAGAAGCAGGAAAATCGAGAACCAGGAAAGCATTCAACTACAGTTACTAGTTTAGTAGATAACTGTGGATTACTCGCGAAAGAAAAAGAGAAAAAAATTTGAAAATTTAGTGTGTAAAAGGAGGACAATTTTACTTTGATTACCGCATCGAACAGCTGTGAAGAGGTGAGTGTGAGAGATTGTGGTGGGACTCAGCGGTAGGGTCTGGGTTATCCCCACGACACACTCTTACTCTCCCGCCTTCCCGCTCTTTTGAATCTCATCTGCGACACCCCATTTTCCTAAGCTAGGTTAAGTGGGAGGAGCGAGTGGTGGAAGTAGCTAATTAGTTGTGATTGTGTGGTTTTTTTGCTTTTGAGTGGCCCTTTGAGGTATATGCTTGAAGAACACGTTTAGCTTGCCGACATGGACACTCCGGAGAGGAATCAGATCGGCACGACGGCGGCCCCTAAATTTGAGGTGATGGGATGACCCTTTTGCTGTTTGATTGTTTTTGTGGCTGCTTTGGGACTTTTTGTCATCTGGGTTGGGATTGGGTTCTCGTTCTTGTGCATGTTCTTTGATTTCATCTTCGTTGACTATTGGTCGATCCCATTTCTGCTCTGGATTTGTCTTGTGAATTCCTTGATATGTTTTCTTTCTGGGTTTTGGTTGGTTTTAAATTCAAGCTCCAGATCTCCAATTTGAGCAATATTTGCTGTTCATAATGGCCATGGTTCTGTTTCTGCACTTGGGTCTTTTGTTACTGTTACTTTGAAATTTGGTGCGTTTAAATCTGTTGTGCTACACCGAAGTTTAGAACAGATATCTATCTTGGTTTTGGCTCGTAGCAGCATATGCTTAGATACAATGGCTATTCTTATTGATGGTGCAGGATTCCCCAGTTTTCAACTACATCAATAATCTTTCTCCGATTCAACCTGTCAAGTCCATACATACTGCACAGACCTTCAACTCTCTTAGTTTTTCATCCCTTCCATCGGTTTTTACTTCGCCGCATACCAGTTCTTACAAGGAATCTAGATTCTTAAGAAGGTACTGTACAGACCTCTTTCAAGATGTTTTTTCAAAAGATTACTTGCGAGGAATCACTGTTTATAATTGGAACTTTATTTGTCAACAGGCGCTGTTATTCAGATCTATCAAAACCAGACTTTTCTTCTGAAAATGGGAATAAAGGTGTTACAGGGAATGTGGATGAATTGCAGGTTAACTCTAGTGCACCAGATGACAAATCTGAATCATCTACCAAGCTGTCTTCTGAGCCACAAGCGTTGAAGAGCCATTCTTCTCGTCCAGATTGTGACCGACCGCTACCTGATAGTGACGACCGAGCTGTAAGTGACCCTTGTGTTGAAAATAACTCCGGAAGTGGATCATCTGAAGCTGAAGGGAATAGGCTGGTGGTCAGCCAAACTGAAGAAAAAGAGGGGACAAGTTATGACTGGGAAAGTTTAATTACTGAAGGCGCTGATATTTTGATATTCAGCTCCCCCAATGGCTCAGAGGCTATCAGACTTGTTCAGAAACCATCAAGCACCTTGGCTCAGATGATGGAAAATGACGATGCCAATCTGTCAAGAATGAGAATTGCTGATCCAATAGAATCTAGTGGTGGACAGCATGAAATAGAGTTTTCGTCGTCTCGAGCTGGAGAGGGTTGTGAACTAAAAGATATGGACCAGGCAATAGATGATGGCATTTCCTTTCCAATTTCAAGTGACTCTATGAGTAGGGAAATAACAGATGAAGAGGTGGCTAGATATATAGCAGATGATTGTATGGTATTAATGTTCTTCATAACCTCTCATTTATTTCTTCTAAACTAAACTTTCCATTGTAACTACACTGCTTAATAACCTTCAAAGGTATTAATGTTTGATTGTTTGTTTGCTTACAGCCGGTATCTAATTTGCATCGGGGTATGCGGAGGCGCTGTCTGGACTTCGAGGCTGTAGTCAGTCGAAGAAAAAACATGGAAGATGGTTCAAATGGTTGTTCTGTGTCGACGCATCCAGAAGAGAAGACGACATCCATGGATAAACAACTTGTTCCTTATAAATCTGGTGGTGTTGTTACTCGATACGTTTTAACTGGAATAGGCTTACACTTGAATGCTTTGGCAACAACTTCAAAGGATGCCAAAAATCTCAATCATGAAAGGTTCTCATCTGAGAGGCAACTGAACTTGCCTAATTCAGGTGGTTCGTGTCATTCGTCTTCAACTGGTCTGGATCCGCTCTCGACTTCGATTGTTACCGAACAAGACATGGATCCTTCAGGGAGTGGGGTTCAAAGTGAGGAAGATGCTGCTATGGCTTCTGCATATGTGCTTGCTGATGATTTCAATCAAAATAGTCCCAAAAGGAAGAGGCAAGCTAAATACTCTCAATGAAATGGCTATTGCATCTCCTTGTTAGCTAATAAAAGGCTAATGGTTTTGCAGGCGTAGGTTGGAACACGCTGGAGAAACTGAGTTATCATGCAAACGCTGTAATTGTAAAAAGTCTAAGTGTTTAAAACTGTGAGTTCCAACTCCAATAGTCTGACTGAATTGTCTTCCGTTTGTATCTGACTTGTTGTCATCTATGTGCAGTTACTGTGAATGCTTTGCAGCAGGAGTTTACTGCATTGAGCCATGTTCATGTCAAGATTGCTTTAACAAACCTATTCATGAAGATACTGTTCTTGCAACTCGTAAGCAGATTGAATCTCGCAATCCGCTCGCATTTGCTCCCAAAGTGATCAGGAACTCGGATTCTCTTCCAGAACCCGGGGTATGAAAATCTCTGTCTATATTTTTCCAAGTGTGGGAGTGCAAGATCATAATTTGAGCAATTTGTTTGTTTCAGGATGAATCTAACAAAACCCCAGCATCTGCACGCCATAAAAGAGGATGCAACTGCAAGAAGTCTAATTGCCTTAAGAGATATTGTGAATGCTATCAGGTTTTACCCCCTTAGACAACCTTAGACAACCATGTGTTTGTTAAGTTCTTTACTTCTTCTTCTCCCCTTCTTGGGATCTTACTTAAACCACTTGTTTTTCTCAAAGGGTGGTGTTGGATGCTCCATCAGTTGCAGATGTGAGGGGTGTAAAAATGCATTTGGAAGAAAGGATGGTGAGCTTTTCTACTTGATTATGTTAAATGACGTTGTTCAGTGCGAGATCTCACATTGGTTGGAGAGGGGAACGAAGCATTCCTTAATAGTGTGGAAACCTCTCCTATAGATGCGTTTTAAAACCGTGAGGCTGATGGCGATATGAAACATTCCCTGAGTATATATTGTTTTTGTTTCAGGGTCTTCTCTTTTGGGACTAGAAACTGAACTAGAAGAAGAAGAAACAGAAGCAAACCAAATGAGTGTAATGGACAAAGCCTTGCAAGGCCCTGAAATCCAGAACAATGAAGAGCAGAACCCAGGTTCTGCTATTCCCTCAACTCCATTACAACTTCCCAGGTACCTCTCTTAACTTTACAGCTAAACAATAATGTTAACATTCATCGTTGTTGAAACATTGACAATCTGTACATCTGCAGGCAATTGGTTCCCCTGCCATTCTCTGCTAGGAGCAACCCACTGCGTTCTTCTTTTCTAAACGTCGGATCCTCATCAGGATTTTATGCTGGCTACAAACATGAAAAGCCAAACACTGCGCCCGTTTCGGACGATGCAATACCGAACATTCTTCGTGGCGATGGCTCTCCTGGTGCAGGCGTGAAGACTGATTCCCCCAACAGTATGAGGATATCTCCTCCTCAGAGTGACTTCGGCCTATCGCCATTGCCACGAACAGGTCGGAAACTGATATTGCAGTCTATTCCATCTTTCCCTTCTCTCACCCCTCAACACTGAAAAGGGTAATCTTTTCAAGCAGAGTCTGCTTCATTTTGGCAATTAGTTGAAACATATGATGCTGAGTGGTACTCTGTTTGAGCTTTGTATGATAAATAGTGTCCCTAAGCCCAATGGCAACGCCTGTAGAAATGATGGTTGAACCGTTGATTTATATAGATGTGTAATTAATTTGGTTCATTTCGATCTTTCTTCTCATCGAAGTCTAGTGAAAACCATGTGTTTTCGATTCTTGCTGGGAGATCTTAATGAAGGAACAAACCCACTCGTAGACACATCGAGCCCATTAGACCACTAGACTCCATTTTCAGCTGAAGTGATCATCCAGTGAGCTTGAATTGGACCAAGTAAGCTTAATCTATGGCTTTCTCTGGGTCCAACTTTCATCCTCGGCCCAACCCATTTTTTTGAGTCGTCGTAGAATTTGAACATAACTCAATTGGCTAAACCTACTTCTTAAACTTTACCATTATAATGAAGTTGAAGAGATAAGACCATTTTACTAAAATTGGAGAGAGCAATTATTTAATTATAATAAGACAAGAAGCATGAACAACTCATTGACCATGCAAAAACTGGACCAATAACCTAACGAGTCAAAATAACTGACCCATGCGAACATCATTTCATTGACCGTTCAAAGCATCGACTAATGGCTCCTCTTGGACTTTCCATAATTGTCTAATGACTCCTCATAGACTTTCCATTTGTATCGGGTAGAAGTTATTTCAACTTTAAAAATATCTAATAAATTTTTAAATTTTTAATTTTGAGTTTGATATCTCCCGTTCCCAATTATTCAAAATTTGATTTATTTAGATATAAATTTAAAATCAATAAAATTTTACTTTAATAACTTATTAAACATTTAGCAACAATTTAAACACTTTTTTTTAATTAAATTGTTGGTAGTTGGTAAATGGAGAATTGAGTCATGGAATCAATGCTAAAAGGCATTATTGGCTTTTGCTATATGATTATTCAAAAGAACTGTGATTAATAATGGAGGAAACTTTATCAAAAAAATAGTGGCTATTAATTTTTTTGTCACATTTTCACACATGGTGACAATATAAAATGGGTTTAAATACTTTAATAATTATTTTATAATTATATTACTAGCATGTGCATGAATAAAATTATTTATAATAAAAAGTCGATCGACTTAAAAATTAAAAACTAAGGTAAGTAATACGCGCACTAAAACTATAATAAATATATTAATTACTAGCAATTTGAATACTCGCTTTCATATTTGTAAGTGATATATTTTAAAAATAAAAATAATAGAAATACCGAGGTAAACCTTTTGCATTTATTTTCGAAATAAAATTAAAAAAAATATTTCTTCTCTAAAGTGAGGATCTCCACAATATATTTCCAACCTTAATTGTTCGGGTTTTTGTTGACTTTTGTATCATTGACTTTTATTATTCCTAAATTTTATTTAATTATCAAAATGTGATTCAAATGGTTTATATGATATGGTATAGTAATATGAACACCCAACCTTATTATTATTTTTAACTTTTTTTATTTATTTATTTAACAATTGAAAGTAAATAATATTTTGATTAACTGAATCTATATATATGTAGTGTTTTTAAATTAAGGTAAACAAAAGAGGAAAAGTGGGTAGCTATTTAAAATTTGTGATAACGTTTAAAAATTTTCTAAAAATTCAATCAAATTCTGTTTAATTTTATTAATTACGGTCGTTTAAATTTATTTGATGAGTATGATCCTATGAAGAAAAGATTATATATTCGAAATAACCAAAATTAAAGAAATTCTGTTTGATTTGATCATATATTTTATAATTATTTTTCACAAACTTGATGAGGAAGAATAATTTAAAAAAGGAGAAAAAAAAATCTAGAAACTCCATGAAGAACAGCTTGAAGAACAGCGTAACCAGAAGCAAACGTGCAGAAGGGAAGAAAATTAAAATAATAAACTCGAAAGAATACGACAGTTTTTCTGTTCAAGGGTTTAATTAACTCCAACAATAATTATAATTTCAAGATTTGTTTTTGAGGTAATTATGGTGTTCGGGTTTGTGTATTTATACTAATTACATACGTTCGTTTAATTTTTGTGTTAATGGCTTAATTGCTTGCTTAACCCTTTTGCCTAATTCACTTCTTTTGCTTGATCTCCGTGCTGTCAGTTACGGTGCTCGTGGTAGAGGCATTCTTGAACGGCGCTGTACAGAACCCAAAAATATAATGTGAATATGATCTTCACTCTTCAGCGATGGGGAATAGCCGGGAGACGAGGAATGAGTATCAGCCTGAGTCAAGAGACAGCCACAGAAAAACATGGGTGAAGAAGCTGATTGGTTAGTGGGTTTTTTTCTTTTTCTTGTGGGTTTCATTTGATCGAAATGTTTTATGAGAAGAAGGTGCTTTTTCGCCGCTTTTTGGGGTGACCCATTTGCTTGAACATTGATTTTGTGTTCTTTTTGAACTGTAGATTTGGTTGGATGATTGGAAACAAGCAGCTGTTTCAGCCGTTCTGGTGATTTTTGATCCCCTGGTGCTCAGCACAGGTAAGCTTTTGAACAAATGGCTTCTTCCTTTTGATTATACTGCACATCCTATACAATCCTTTGAGGAAGTTCTATGTGGTTGAAGATCTGGATTCCTTTTGTTTAAAGGGCCAATATGAACAAATTTTCATTTGATTTATAATCCATTTGCTGTTCCTATGAAGGTGTAGTGAGTGACAAGGAGCTGGACAGGCTCGTGAAGAATTAAGTAGCTGGTGAAGTTCAAACTACCAAGCTGGCTTGGAAACGTTACCTGGACTATAACTGGTACAAGGACCAGGCTATTCCAAGGTCTAAACCCTTTGTTCGGTTGTTGTTTGCCGGAGTCATGGCGACCTTGTTGCATTCTGAATCTCGGCGCTTATATTCTTGGTGGTGGGATAGCCATATTAGCCCCAAGAACTCAAAATGGCTACAGGAGAATCTTACAGGTTATGCTTCTTATTATCATGTTCAATCTTTTATGGTACTACCTTGCTTCCTCTTCAATAGAAGTTTAGCCTTTCATTTGCGGAGCTTCATGTTCATATCCCAAACATCTGAGTTTGGGATGAATTGGTATTGGAGGTTAGAGTTGAAAGAAGAGAGAAGAATGATAATTTATGTGTAATGAGGGAGGTGGAAAGTTTGTAGCTGAAACTCACTTTTCTTGAGCTAATCATACTTTGTCTCTTGGAGATGGCTTTTGGGATGGGCACAAGATGGGGGTGTCCTTTTGAATATCTCGACTTCGTCATTTATGAAAGTTAATGTTGTGTAGCGTAAATGTGAGATCCCACGTCGGTTGGAGAGGGGAACGAAGCATTCCTTAGAAAGGTGTGGAAACCTTTCCCTTGTAGACGTGTTTTAAAACCGTGAGGCTGACGGCGATACGTAACGGGTCAAAGCAGACAATATCTGCTAGCGGTGGGTTTGGGTTGTTATAAATGGTATCAGAGCCAGACATGGGGCGGTGTGCTAGTGAGGACGCTGGACCCTCAAGGGGGTGGATTGTGAGATCCCACATCAGTTGGAGAGGGGAACAAAACATTCCTAATAAGGGTGTGGAAATCTCTCCCTAATAGACTCGTTTTAAAACCGTGAGGCTGACGGCGATACGTAACGGGTCAAAGTGGACAATAGCTGCTAGCAGTGGGTTTGGGTTGTTATAAATGGTATCAGAGCCAGACACGGGGCGCTGTGCTAGTGAGGACGCTTGACCCTCAAGGGGGTGGATTGTGAGATCCCACCTCGGTTGGAGAGGGGAACAAAGCATTCCGTAAAAGGGTGTGGAAACCTCTCCCAAATAGGCGTGTTTTAAAACCGTGAGGCTGACGGCGATATTTAACATATCAAAGTGGACAATATATGTTAGAGGTGGGCTTGGACTGCTACAGTAAACGTGTCTGAATTGGCCTTTGCGTTCTCAAGATTCCTTGTTCTCCGGATGCCCTCATGTATAAACATATGGATGCTAGCTTAAATTTGAATTTATTGAAACTATATCATTGTCGTGTTCTCTTTTGCAACGGCGGATAACAACTAGATATACTAACAAAGACATGGTCACTTTTTCTTCAGACATGGATGCCAATGTAAAAGCAATGATCAGACCCATTGAAGAAGATGCAGACTCCTTTGCAAGAAGAGCTGAAATGTACTACAACAAACGTCCAGAGCTTATAAAAGTAGTTGAGGAGTTCTACCGAGCGTACCGTGCTTTAGCTGAACGATATGACCCTGCAACTGCAGAGCTTCAAGATGCACATGAAACCATGCCTCAAGCATTAGACAACCAAATGCCTCCTGATGATGAGTCTTGTTCTGATGCTGAATCCCACACACCAGAAATCCACCTCCCAAATCATGCACTGCATGACAAAGGTGACTTGCACAAGGAGTTGGGGAGTTCATCATCAACGAATCAAAGCGGTTCTGCAAGTAAAGCGGGTTTGAAACAGCTCAATGAGATGTTTGCATCAGAGGGAAGCACTGAACTGCAAGTAGTTCGTCGTGAAGGTGAATTCGATGGCCATAACTTGCATAGAGTGCCCTTTCAGTTAATTAGGAACATTTGTGTTCTCAAACCTCCAATTCTGTGGTTGTCTGAAAGAGACGAAAAATTGGATTCTGAACTTCAAAGTTTAAGAAAGAGACTGAATGAGATGGAATCTGAAAAGGAAGCTTTCTTTGTTAAATACCAGAATTCTTTGGAAAAGCTATCCAGCCTAGAGAAAGAACTTAGTTCTACTCAAAAAGATGCCAGTGGACTCGACGAACGAGCGAGCAAAGCTGAAATCGAAATAAAAATATTGAAGGAAGCCCTTCAAGATTTGAAAGCAGAGAAGAATGCAGGCCTTCTACAATATAATCAATGTTTGCAAAACATATCTAGCCTAGAAAAGCTATTTTCTGACTCCCAACAAGATGCTGAAGGACATAAAGAGAGAACCGCTAAGGCCGAAATTGAAGCCCACAACCTTGAGCAACAACTTTCCAGATTAGCAGCTGAAAAGGAGGTCAGTCTTGTTCAGTATGAGCAATGCCTAAAGAAGATATCTGCTTTAGAGAATAAAATCTCTGTTTCTGAAGATTATGCAAGAACGCTCGATGAACGAATGAATCGTTCAGAGACTGAAGTGAAAGTACTGAAGAGAGCTCTCGACGCTCTGAATGAAGAGAAGGAAATAGCATCTCGCCAGTATGAGCAGTGCTTGGAGAAAATTGCCAAGATGGAAACTGAAATATCTCATGCTCAAGATGAACTTGTGATAGCTAATGCAAAACTGGAGACAACAGAAGAAAGGTGTGCTCATTTGGAGCAGTCAAACCATTCACTGCAGTTTGAAGCAGACAACCTTGTACACAAGATTGTTATTAAGGATCGAGAGCTTGCAGAAACGCGAGATGAGCTGAAGAAACTGCAGACTCTAATGAATGAACTGACTTTTTCTTCCAATACTATAATGAAGAATTTGGAGGATCAATTATCTGGCTTGATGGAGATGAAAGAGAAGCTTGAAGAGGTTGTTTCTAAAAAAGAAGAGCAGAGAAAGTTGCTCGAGAAAGAGATCGATCATTTGAGAGACGAAATTAACGAATCGAGTGTAAGATACCAGCGCATAATGAGACAATTGGAAGAGGAATTTGAAGAGGAGAATGCCAAGCTGAGGGAGGCCTGTGAAAAGAACAGGAACGAGATAGAAGCACTTCACGAAAAACTCAGTTATATGGATAAACTTGAAAAGGAAAATTTGTCTTTCCTTATTGAATGTGAACAATATGAAGAGGCATCCAAGTTATCAGATAAAGTTATTGCTGAATTGGAAGGCGAAAATATGGAGCAACAAGTTGAAGTAGAATTTATGTACAATGAAATCAATAAATTAAGAGGAGGAATCCGTAAGGTTTTAATGGCTCTTCAAATTGACCAAGTTGAAGAGAGGATTCTGATAGTGGATATTTTGGCCAGAATTGAGGATTTGAAAACGTCCGTGTTCAAAAACAAGGACGAGAAGCGGCAACTGCTCGTTCAGAACTCGGTTTTATTGACTCTTCTCAAGCAACTGAGTTTCGAGAGTGAAGAACTGAAAGAAAACTTTATGCAGGATCAACTAGCAATGCATGAACAAGACAAGCAGAATTTAATCATTCAGGAAACAATTGCTTTCAACATCCTATCGTCGATTTTCGAAAGCTTCAAAACAGAGAAATTCTTGGAAATCGAAAGGCTTGTTCAAGATATCTGTCATCTCCAAGTGGTTAATTCTGAGACAAGGGAAGAAGTTGTGAAGTTGGCAGAGAAATCTCAGTCGAAGGACGTTGAAAATTTGCGTTTAAACGGATCGGTAGAGAAATTGGCAAAGGAGCTACATGAAACAAAAGCTTCGAATGATGAACTCAACCATCAAATTTTACTTGGAAATGATTTACTGAGGTCGGAGGCCCGAAAGCTGTCTGAAACAGAGGAGGAGCTTAAAAATTCACAAAACTTCAACATGAAACTGTGTGATACTGTTGAGGAGCTCAAGATGGAAGGTGAAGAAACAATGATGATCAAACAGAATCTAGAGAATGAGAATCTTGAACTTAAAGAAAAGTGCTTAAGCCAGGAGAATCAGATTCAACGCCTCAGTGAAGTAAATGAAAATTTGAAATCTGAAGTTGATTTATTGAATGAGGAGATGGAGAAATGCAAGATTAGAGAGGAGTGTCTGAGTCTAGAGCTACAGGAGAGAAGAGATGAGTTTGAGCTCTGGGAAGCTGAAGCCACGGCATTTTACTTCGATAATCAAATCTCATCGATACGGGAGGTTTTATACGAGAATAAGGTACACGAACTTGTCCATGCTTGTGAAAATGCTCGGGATGAGGAGGCTGAAAAAGATATGGAGATCGAAAAACTCAGAGAAAGAGTAAGTTTCCTGGAAATTGAAGTCGGAGAAATGGAGGCACAGTTGTGTGCATATAAGCCAGCCATAGCTGCTCTGAGGGAGGATGTAGAATCACTCAAGCATATTGTTCTTCCTCAGGTAAAACTTTTTTCTTATTAATTATATGCTACAATATGGAAAATGTGACTGAAATCTATGCTGATTTACGTTCGTGTGTTGCCAGGGCGAGGAAACCACAGCTCATGTTCATCAGAGGAGCTGTAATGTCTACAAAGATGAGATATTGGATTTGCAGGAGATTGGGGCCATGATAAAAGTAGTGGAGAAGGCTGTGATCGAGGAAAAGAAAAAACTTAACAAAGAAGCTGCTGAAGTACATGTCGAAGGAACATCGCATCGAGAAGCGACAACGGAGGATGGAATTACTGATAATCCTAAGGCAAGAAAGAACAAACCTGAGAATGAAATGGTAATGAAAGATATTCCACTGGATCGTGAATCAGATAGTTCTTTCCAGAGAAGAAGCAGAAGGGAAAGTAGTGAGACCAATGAGCAAATGCTTAAGTTGTGGGAAATTGCTGCGCAGAATTGTGACCAGAATTTGATTGATAGCTCGCCACAAAGCCCCTCAGACCCACAAGTTGAGTACCCACAGTTGGAGCAATCCCCCAGCAGCAGCAGCATTAGAGAACGAATCCGAAGAGGCCGAAAAGGAAAGATCTTAGAGAGAATTGATTCATATGTCGATCAGTTGACAGGTCTTCTAACAAGTGTTAGAGATTTGAAAAAGAGAATTGAAGTGAACATCTTCGAAATGACTCCAAACAATGAATACGACACGGTTGAGAAACACATAAAAGAAGTCGAGGAAGATATATTTCAGCAAATGAATATCAATGATCAACTGAAGCAGAATTTGGAACGCAGTCCCTCGTTTTTCGAGCAAATGCCATCAATAGAAATCGAGGCGACTGGAAACATCCCCTTAAGCAAACTAAGAGAGCAGGCACGAAGAGGATCTGTAAAGATACAACAACTACAGTTCGAGGTACAGAGCATTCAGCGCGTTGTGCTGAAACTCGAAGCCGAGAAGAAACCAAAAGGGAAGAACACATTACCGGGGAGTAGTAAACCTCGGGTTATTCTGAGAGATTTCATCTGCAGAAGCGGAAAACGGAGGGAAAGATGGAAGAAACCATGTTCTTGTGGATGTATGAGACCTTCCACGCATGGAGACTGAATCTCCCGATAGATACTCCGGCTGTACAGTAGTAGAAGATTATAGAGACAGCATCTAGATATCCATCCCATTGTAAGTTGCAATAATGGTAGATCATCATCTCTGGATCTATCTAATGATGATGAACTATAACAGGACAGATTCTTGTCTTGCGCTACCTTGATTGATTATGATGATTAAAGTCCAGAAATAAAATGTTCACATTTTTCAATGCTCTGTTACCAGAATTGCGATCTTCATTTCTTCTAACCCCATCGCCGCACCCGCCGCCGCCATTCTTCTTACTGCGTGGTGGAGGCGCCGCCGCCGGAGTTGGTGGAAGGAGCATCAGAGCAAGGGGGAAAGATAACACAACTTGGAGAGGGAATTGGAAAGGATGGAACCACAGAGGGTGGCCTTCAAATTTTGTTAAATAAATCCTAAAAAAATAATTGGTATTTTATCCTATTTTAATAAAATTCACACAAAATTGAAAATTTAGAAATACCTTTAATATTTTGAAATTTAGAAGCGTATTAAACCCAAAATAAAATTTTCATGACATAAAAATGAACCATCTAATTTTTACTTTATTTTATGGATATGGCAACAAGCTCACAATTCACTATATAGAAGCCAAGTAGAGGCGCTGTACTTTACCATATAATGAACTTTAAAAAAAAAAAAAAAAAAAAAAACCTCTTGATCAAACTAATACGAACCATAACGAACAAAGTTCCGTGTCGAGAAAGTCGGGAAAAAAGTGCAATTCGTGAAATTAATTCAATGAAGGCATATTCTTTGACTAATAGCACAAAATTGCGATCCTCAAAACCTACTCTTCTCACTAGACCAATAAGCGGGCTAAAACAAGTTTGTAGCAAACGGGGGCAAAAAAATAAACAAAACAGATTAAACCAACTCGGAATGAAATTTAACATTACTGAACTCAAGCTCCAACAACTTCAGTAGCCTCCTCTGCCGCCGCTTCGTCGGCCGGTCTCTCAACCTTCACGCCAACGTCTTCTGAGTAGTCGCCGTGAACCTGCAAGCATAATCAGCAAAAGCGATTAATGAAATGACAATAGAATTTTTCCCTTCTAATACAAATATCACGGAGGAAACATAAAACTCTGAAATACTTCCAGAAATAAACCAGATATATACCTCCATTAACTTCCCAAGATCGAATTTGGGAGCTTTCAAAATTTTAACTTTCCGGATAAACACATTTTGAAGAGGGTAGATACTTGATGTTGCCTTTTCGATCTCCTTGCCAATTGACTCTGGAATGAACTTGCGAACCAATTCCTTCAAATCACAAGAGGACGCCTGGTTTACCATGATCTCTCTCATCTTCCGGCGGATCTGACATGGATTAGAGATATCAGCATTATTTAAAATAACTTTTTGCAAAATCCACAAGTGCGTGCCAATGAATATGGAACTACTTTAAAAAATGAAATACCATAAGCAAAATAACAGGCCGAAGTAAACTTAGTAATACTTAGTATCAAAAATATTACTCAATTTTTACTACAAAATACTTCACAGAAGTCCTATGAACTAACCTGCCTGATCTGGCTGGATTGCGCATAACAGGTTCTTTTCACCTGGTTTGGCCTTCTCTTAGTGAATCCAATGCAAAACATTCTAAGGGTGTAGCTGTCTGTGGTTTTGACATCCACGTGAGCTTCAATCAAAGTATGCCACTTGCGTACTAAAGACCTCAATTTGTCAGTAGTGAAGTTCATTCCCTGAACATTTTTACAATGAAGAATAAAGATGATCAAAAGGAAGGCTACAAAATATGATGTGAATAAATCTACATAATTAAATGCAAAATCCATCTAACCCAGAAATTTGTCAGGACATTCCTCCCTTGAACATCTTCTGCTCTCAATCGAATCTTCCTGTAAGCATGCTCCTCATCATCCTGAAGATCAGCCAACGAGACCTCGAAGACTCTATGTTTGAGTCCTTCAGATGCAATCTATTGAGAGCAACAAAGAAAACTTTTACATTCACATTGTATGAAATAAGACCTACAAGAACATACAAATCACGGCAGCAAAACAGGGGTCTTAAAGCTAAAATGATATAATATGACTTGAGAAAACTCTAAAGAAGTTAACATCGTATCCAATGCAAACAAACTTGCAATTAGTATTGCAAGTCATCTAGAAAATATAAAATCCAATCTTTAGTTCTCAGATACCAAATATTCAAGTCAAAAAAAATGCATCAATACAAAACCATAAACAGCAGAATAATCGCAACCTCTCTAATGCTAGAAACCCATCAGATTAAACTCGGTACATTAATCAAATTCAAAAATGCCTCTAAGATTATACAAACATAATATAATTTCCCTCACTCTACACTCTCAGCTCTCATATAAAGTATAAACACAAAAGTAAAAGCAATCAGAACAGTGTCGATTTACCTTGGTACCCTGCGTGCGCGTAACAAGAGTCTTTCCAACATTCTTAACAGTGAAAACTGAAGGAGCCTTGATATCATACCAATCCTTCTTGGCAAATGGATCGGTGCTGAAGGACAAGCAAATAACAGATAAATACAGGCACGCCAAAACTAATACAAAGATCTGAGAGACTAAAGAAGCAAATAGATATACTCACGCTTTCTTCTTGCCTCCCTTCTTTCCCTTCGAAATCCGCTTGTTCTTGCTGATCCAACAGAAATCGAGTGTCAGAGATAAAAACCAAAATGCAGCATAAAATCGAAAACAATCGGAATGAGAGAATGAGAGATAGTACCCGACGGCCATGGTTGAAGGAGGTGAGTTGCCCCGACTCTGCAGATGTTTTGCTGCTCGGCAGAGAAAGTTCGAGAGCCGCCATAAACCCTAAATCTCTGTTTATATAGGTCATGCTTCCTTTTCCTTTTTCTTTTTTTATTTTTTATTTTTTGATTTATTACTATTATTATTTTTAAATCGTCGATTATACTTTTGCGGCCTCGACTTTAACGAAGAGTCTACAACAATATCAAAATTTTACTGTGTTTGTAATTACAGTAAAAAAATAATGGTGAGAATATCATTTTCAAAAGAAATAAGAGCAATTTTTTTTTCCAAGATAATACATTATTTTTTTTAATTTTCTAAGATAATAATTTTTTTAAATAGCTAAAATTACTTTTCCATGTAAATATATATATAATATTTTTTTAAATTGTTTAGACCAAAAGTTCAAAATTTTAAAATTTTACCATATTTATTAAATTTGTTAAAACTAATCGGATTTAAATGAAGAATTTTTATTATTTCAAAGTTAAATTATAATAATTTTAAATATATTATAATATTTGCACAGGTCATTGACGGGTGAAAGAAGGTAAGATCAAGTATTTAATCGTGGTTTTATTATAATGTAGAGATTTTTTTTTTTTTTTTTTTTTTTTTTT